TCCAGTGGGATAGCATTTAATTCCGCAGGATTCGACCTAGGACAACGTAATCTTGACGATGTACAGTTATCGCTCCAATTAAATTATAAGGTATTTCTCCCTCTTTTCTAGCGTGCCTTGGTGGTGTAGTGGTTCTGCATGCTGGTCGGTATTCAGAGGTCCGTGGTTCGATTCCCGGCGAAGGCGTTGCTAATTTTTCATCTCTTCGGCCTCCAAAAAATAACTTATGTCTCTACACAATGACGAATCGAAAAATACTTCAGCTGTATTTAAATCAATTATCGTTTCAAAAGCCACTAGTTAAAACGCTATATTTCTATAGGATGCAAGGAGTGGTTATCGAGAGAATCAACTGATAAGCTAAGTAACCTTAAACTTCATTTAATAATTAAAGATGAGCGTATAATTAATTAGGGAAAATAATTAGATACAAACCACCAAGAATTAAATAATTCGGATTAATTAACTGAATTCATTCGGGTACATATGAAAAAACTTAGCTACATAAATTTTTACTAAATATTACGCAAATTGTTTATCCATTACATATGATTAATTTCGTATAATCTAAAATTAAATTTTTATGTACTATATATAGCTAACCGAATAAGAATTTTAATGCATATTATGAAGCCTATATCCGTCTGAAAAAGATATAAAAATAGTTGAGTTTTTACTAAAATTCATAGCGAATAGCTATCAGATAAACAAATATGATCAAGCATAGTTTATACTAAAAAAATACATGAACTTAATAAAAAGGAAAATTAAATAAAAGAAAGCAGATTTCATTTGCTTTAGAATCTGCTGAAATTAGTTTTCAGAACAGTTTTATTTTATCCAGCGGCAAAAATTTCTTTTGTGAGTTAGCCGTAATAAACAACATTTTTAATTAAGGAAAGATGTGGAGTCTTTTTAGAATATTTCTCATTTCTTAAACTTTGTAAACTCTTTTTCCGAAGTAAAGACAATAGATTAGAAAACGTAGATTCTAATCCTTGCGGATTAAAGATTTTTAAAACTTTTGAGTGTAAACCGACATACATCTTAGCTAATCTTTGTAAATTAAAATCTTTTTAAACTTTAAAATGTAAACCGACATACATCTTAGCTAAAATTGATGCCTAAGTATTGATAAATTTTGTGCATTGCAAAATTAACAGAAAAATAAAGTTAAATTATTTTTACAGATCAGTCGATTAGTATTTAAAGAAGAAACAATTTATTGAATCCTAATGTAAAATAAATAATTAAGTAATTATGTACATTTTTACACGGCAGCCGTAGCTTTATACTATTTACCGGTTTTTAAAATATATTTCGGTGGCTTCGTTTAACTGCACAAAATCACATAGGTTTTCTTTTACTTAAATAAATGATAATAACAGCATTTATTGATGGCTCAATGCAATTAAGTTTATTCAAGGTTTGATAAAGAAAAATAAGAAAATTACTTGACCAGCAACTGAAAGACTATCGTGAATGCTCTTTAATTAGTAATTTATGCGAAAATACTTAGAGAAAGCTGAAACCTCTCGCTAAATCTTCAATAATAGTTGGTGAAATCTTATAAGCTTTGAAATGTTTAATAGTAATCAGGGATATGCTACGAAAACAGATTTTTTAATGCAAATTCCGTGACACTGCGAGGAAGAAATATTGAAAAAATATTGTTTTTAACCTCCTTTCTCGTATTAATTTAAATTTTAAAAGTTACTATTTATGTCTGAAAACACAGTTTACGAGAAACTAATTTTGCCTTGCAGAAAATGATGACGTTTCAAAACTAAGAGGAGTTCAAGAAGTGGTTGCGAAAACAACTATGTTGTACAACATAAATGTTTTTTCTTCCCATTAAAACATTGCAGCTTTCCCTATACCTACTGCACTAAGAATGAATTATTAATAAATAAATTCGTTACAAGACTTTAGGATCCTTTTTCTTACCTTAAAGATTAAACTATTTGTTTAAAACGCTTGTTGGGAAAACTACTTAAAATGCTTAGGTGAGATAAGTAGGGTTTCAAATGAAATTCACTGCAAAGTATCTCTCTGTAACAATGAGGAACGTTTCTAATAGCAATACAAACAACTAGCATCTATTTTCCTTTGTTTTAAACAGTATTTTTCGTCATTATGCAGATTAACATCTTAAGTAAGATTATAAAATATTATACAATGGCAGGAAAATGTGGATATAGGAGAAACTTTTAGTAGTATTCTTTTATAATGAAAATAACAAGAATCTCAATTAATTCTACTAAAATTTTATTAGTATGGATCAATAATTTTGTAAAAGTTTTCGTTCTAAATCTTTTGTCATACAATTTACCTCAGAATTCTTGCCCTATTTTTGAGGTATAACAGTTTGATGTCAACAATATGTGCTTTGTGAAATATTTATTGATCATTAAGAATTTTAAAATATTTTTTTAAAGTTATTTCGTAAGCTTTTTATTCAGCACAAAATTAAAATTATTCTTGATATTGAGAGTTTTTTAGCAAGTAAAAAGCATTTCTTCAGGTAAAAGGGAAGAAGAAAGTGGAAAAATGAATAAGTAAATAAAAGCTTTAATGTTATGCCTTTACTTTATAATTTACAAATACAACACTGATACTAATTTATAATAATTAAAATATTTCTAACTTCAAACCAAGAAAGAGAAAACTCAATATTTTCTGTGAAATACGGTTTCTTTATGCTGGTTACCCTTTATTAATATTGTATTAAATGATGATAATTGTAAAAAGAGTGTTTAGAAGCGGAAGGTTTTCTGGGTTTTTATAAATCTTACGAAGCTGAGCTACATGCGAAATTTGTTATTATGTAAGTCTCCTGAAATATTTTTGGTCTATTTTCTATATTTTAAGCTGCATCCAATGAATTCCAGATTGTGTATCATTTTAAAAATAAAATTATATAAAAAAACTTAAATTGGCGATGTCTTATTCAATTTTGATCAAACGTCGCTGCTTGTATATGATAATGTAAATAGCGAGTAGGTAAGGAGCATTAGGTCTAAGTCAAGGGAAACCGAAATTTGAGATTTAAAAATTGAAATATGAATCGTAACATAGTAAACTACAGAAACTTTAGGTAAAATTAGCATTTACATTTGTTTAAATTTACGTATTTCTTTTTAACTGTAAAGAAGAGTGAAAATATTTTTTCCAAGTATTTCTTTTTCATAAAATCTTAGCTATTTTTATATCAAACTCCTCTCATTCTCATTTTTAAGCATCATCATCCAGTTTAGTACTAGCATTGAAACCCTTTCATCTTTTTTTATCACTTAGCAACACAATGCTTACTGAAATAATTTTTGACATGTTGTTATTTTAATCTTCTTTACCCAAGTTCAGAGACATAAATCATTCATTTGTTTTCTATCATGCTAAATTTAAAGCTGTTGAATGCATTTTATTTCACAAACGAAATTTTAGGTACTTAGAGGTGTGTACTGAAATAATAATGCTATAAAATTATTTAAAACCCTGAAAGAAAAACAAAACGAAAGAAAATACTTATAAACCGTATTCTATAAATATGGGCAATTAGTACATGTTAATAAGTTTAATAACAGCTAATAAACTAATTGGTTAACGTATTATTAAGTTTCTTAAGTCTATTGTTGAATTAAATCAATTAACTTATATACTCATTGATGACTAAAATGTAAATACACCTTTTAATTTTTCAAAGCAAAATTTTCGAAGAACAAACCCTCCAATAAAGTAACATACTACTATCCTCTGAAAGCATTCAAGCCTGTTCAGAAATTTTCCTTATAATCAGAAATTGGAAAAAATTATGAAATTAAAAATAGTTGTATTACGCAATAATTGTTTCATGTAACAAGTAGATTTATTAATAATTTTCATACACATTCGAAACATTAATCAAAATAATTACAACTATTTTTAACATCATTACGATCGAAGAGGATGTTTTTTAAATACATGAAACAGTTTTCAATTAATACATAGTATACAAAATATTTTGATTATTACACACATAATGTGTCGCTTTAAATTATAAATTTATTTAGTAACGATGTCAGAAATCACAAGCTAATTAACAAATAAAGGAGAAATAAGCACTTGTATCAAAATTCTGATTACTGCAATATTCTTGCATTCTTATTTGTCTAATAGGGTGCGACGAAAACTGAGCGAAAAAAAGCATAATATTCATTATTTTTATTAACTTTTGTTAAGAACATATTTTGCTTGATATTTTGAGTCGCATAATTTTATACGATCGTTAACTTTAGTTAAATCAAATAATGCTAATTTTTTTTATTTATTATTTAATCTTTATTTAGTATAACAGTAATACATCATAAGTCATTTAACGAATCTGTAAATAGCTGAATTGGTAACATTCAGCTCCGTTCATTTGGAGAAGATTGATTATGCCTTGAAATAATGACTAAATACATGATCAACTAATAAGTATTAATTAATCTATGAAATAGTAAAACCGTCATAAATTTTTCTTAATACGTAAAATTCTGAGACATTATTCATAACAAAATATTTATTATGTTTATCGTTTTCTACATAGCTTAGTTTTTTAGAAAAAATTCAGTATTTTAATGCAGGATATGATGTACGATACAGATATGATGTATTTAAAGATATTTCGATATTTAAATACTGCATTTTTGTGTTTAATTTGTTGCAAAAATATTTAAAAAAGCTTATTTAATTTTGTAAGAGAATAAAAATAAAGGAAAATAATAGTTAAATATTCATGCTTTTCACCATCATATGATAATCCCTTTTTTTATTTGATTAAACATGAAATTTATAATTTACATTTACAACAATTTTTTAAAATTTAATTAACGTATTTGAAACGAATAGTGGTATAAGCTCAAAATCGTGTCTGATACAATTAATAATCAGATTTAAAATATTATCGATTTAAAAAATAGTGAAAAGTTAAATAAAAGCTTAAAAAATAATATATTTATTTCCTAATTTAGTTTTCTTACCTTTCATATTGATAGTCCATGCATCCGAATCGCTATATTAAATTCCTAAAGACTACATCGCATGACCACCACTAATAACAAAAGTAAAATATGCAAAAAATTAATGAATCACCGCAAGATGAATAGAGCGGTGAATACCGGACGCCTTCTGCGGCCGGCTCTACGATGACTCGACGGCCGTCAGTAAGAGGCTATCACCGTAGGAAAAAAGCACAACTTCGAGCTCTGCGTTCAGGTAGATGATCCTGCAAGTAGCACTATCACGAGTGCGCGTTTAACAGTTGGAAAAAACCTGTTCGAAAATCACACGCACGTTGGGTCACACGTCTTTTGGGGAAGAGTCGCTTTCTGTGCATTTCTTTTATTGTTTTTTTTTTCGTCCTTAGTTTTATTCATTTCTTGCTTTTTTTCCCCCACCAGCGGCTGTTCGGAGGGAAAAAAATCGACCGTTAATTTGCTTGGAGTTTTATGATAGTTTCTTGAATTTTTGTTTCGCAAGGAAGGCATTTCTAATGATTACTCCTGTAGGAAAAAATATGACAAAAACATAGTATGTTTATGAAATTCTAGCTTTAATTAATGTAAGGAAAAGAATTTTCAAACTATTCCTCAATTTTGAAGTCAGTCAAAGTTAGCTCCCAAATTTAGAAAATGTATCCAATATTTTTGTATGAAATGCTTTCTGGATGAGTTGTCTTAAATTATTATATTCAATAAAATAAATAGTACGTTATTTCCATCGAAATTTGACTTACTAATAACAATAGTAATTAGAGGTTTTAAGTCTGATTCGCGTCTTAGAAAAAAAAGTTCATTGCATTAATTTAATTTTTGCCCCTGAGAGACTATTGTTTTCATTTTGCGATTTTGCGTCGAGTCACTTTGAATGTCCATTTCACTTTTCAAGCTGTTGCCATCAAATATTATTGCCCTGTATTATATTTGAAGAATCTGCATAAATGTATGTATGTTTATCGAATTGTGATAAAACAACGGTACCTACAGCCATTCTTTGAATGACGCAATCGTACTGCGAATATAGCGGCCGAGCGGTAAAGTCGCTGAACATTGGTAGTTCGGTCCGAGGTTCGAATCTCGCGAACGGGCTGGCTGCATGGGTGTTTTTGTGGTTTTTCCCATGTGTAACGTGTATACGAGCTAGTTTCCTTTAGAAAGTCTTCCACGAAGGCATCCATTCACTTAGGCAGATAGCCCTAGTGTGTTTTGCCATAATTAAATACACCACCACCACACCACCTACTGGGAATATGGGCATCTGGAAGCCAAAATTTGTTTTATTATCGATTTCATATTTTGTAAAACTTTAATGAATTTTTGATTAACAAACTCAAAGATTTCAAAGCGAGCAATGACAACGTTGTACAGAAAAAAAAATTATCACCAGCACGTGAGACTGTCTATCGGAAATTCTAAAAATATGCTCAATTTAAAATTATTTTGCGATATTGCTCTTGAACTGAATTTTATGAAGTGCGAAGAACATAATATTTAATAATTAAAGGTAACACCACACAGAATGTTAAAAAAGCCCCTTTGGACGTAATTTAAAATCTGAAATAATTAGATTATTTCAGATTTTTTTTTTTCTTCTTTTTTTTTTTTTTTTTTTTGCTAGTGCAGTGAAAGACAAACTGTTATTCGCTAACTGGTTTCTTCGTCAGTCAGGGCAGATAGCTTTTCCATAATCATTAAACCTTACATGATCTTTTAAGAATAATCATTTAATGAAACGTTTCTAACCTTAATTGACTGAAGACTGAATAATGATAGTTACTTTAAAACAAAAGCACTTTTATTCGCGATTCTGGCTAAATTCATGCCTTTAGCCTAAAGATAAGAAGAGGGCACGCTGTTTCAGGAAAAATGAAACATTGGAATTATCTAATGAAATCAGCAATGGGGAAGAATTTGAGAGCTACATTTTGAAGGTAGTTGTTCCGATACGCATGGTAATTAAGAAGCCTAGATACCACACCATTTGGCTTGGATTTGAATCCCAGATAAAACATAGGAACTTGTCATGTGGCTTCTACCGCAGGAGTAGACCGATTGTGCAGGATCTATCTATCTTTTGTGGTGCATTGTGGAAATTGCTTTTGATGAAGTTACTATCTCGCGGCCTTTGGAAGGGAGAGTCGCTTGTGGAATGATTTCCTAATATAAATTTAAATTATGGCATATTTCAAGCACCTCAGACACCTTCTTGACTGAACTTCCAAGCTTATCTCCTCTATTCTAAGCTTATTTCCTAACTAAATTATATTTCCCTATTCCTTAAATCCTCTCTATAAATTGTTGATCAAGAAATTACATGACTTTAATAACTGTATTTTTTGGCATCGTAATATTATGTAAGATTCTAAGCGGTTATATCTTTTATTTATTCAATTTTTAGCCTTAAAAAACTTCATAACATTCATTCTTCTTTCGCTTGAATTTCCATCTGAATTCTGGATTTCGAACATTTTCAGTCATTCGTTTTCGTGACAATCTTTGTGTCGTCTGTCATATTTTAAATACAATATATCATAATTAATACTAATTTTAAGTATGTAAAGTTTTAGTCCGCAAATATCAGCAAAAATGTCTATTAAAATTAAATCAATATTAGGAAGCTGAAGTTACTTATAAGCAAAAGTTTTTTTAGGGATATCACTCTGAGGAGTTTGTTTTTGGAGTATAATGTATAATGTCTTCTGGTCAAGTTCAATTAGAAAATATCCCGTATTCACTTTGCAAGGAAGGATCGTATTCTTCTGTGTACTCTCATTGTGTAAATAGTTACTATGTACAATTAGCAAATAGAACATAGATACTTTCAATCCCAGCTACAACAAAATTTATTTTGCAAGTTTTCTTTTTTGACAAACTTAACGGTTTTTAAACAGGCGCTCGAACAAAATTGGGGTCGACAATAACTCGACATAACCTGAATATAGATCGGCTGGATCTCATAATTCTCTTCTCGCTCGATTGTAAAATGGAGAAGAATATAAAGAATTATCGCATTCCCATTTATGTGCTATCACCCTGTAAGTGGTTAGAACCATTTGGAAGATTTTTAATTCGAATTCCAGAGAGAAACAGTTGGTTTTTGACAGTGAGAGACTTAACGTGAGAGAAAATCACACGTGATACATGAAAAATTCAGTTGCCGAGAAACGAAACTGGGATATAATACCAGATATCAGCATCTTAGCCAGTGGGCCATTGTTCAATCGCAAATTTGTAGCTAAAACCTAATTTTAGAAGCCAAATTGAATAAATATATCGATAGAAATTTTTTATAGCATGAGTTTTATCTGTGTCATCCGAAACTTTGGAAACAATCATTTCTACTACTACTACAAAAAAAAGAAAAAAAAAAAATACTCTTCATTTGATGACATTGTTGTCCACGTCGAGTTTAGGTCTTATTTTCAGGTTGCAGTTCACTCAATTCCAGGATTTTTTAAATCTTCTTCTTGCACATATTTTATCCTCTTTACCCTAGCAAGAGATTCCTTTATTCGTTATTTATAGCTTTCACCAAATCAGAGCCAATCTTTTAGAATCGGAGAAAAATCTCTTTTCATGCTCTTTATTAGACTGTTTTCTTTAATGAACTTCTGCTTCTGCTTGTCTATTATTTGGATTTCTTGTTGTCTGCAGATATTTGGAGTCAAAAATAGAAATGTCATTAGATTCATGTCTTCCTGCTGATTGTAGCTTCATTGGAGGAAAACAGTTACTGTCTCAACCCTGCTCTGAATCATCTCGCATTAGTTAAGCATCAGTTTTCCACGAAGGTTCTCTTTCTTACAGGGAAATTGGAGAACAGAACAAAAATAAGGCACTTAGTTCCCACCCACACACCAGGGTGTGTTTCACCAAACAAACCATAATTTTCTTGGATAATCTGAAGGACAGGCCACATATATTAAATATTCCACAATCCGTCAGACAAAGTTAATTTCAAACGTAAGATAATTTTAAAACTCACTAGAAAAACGTACTTAAACATTTCTACGTAGTTTTAAATTACTTTAATTTCGGATGAAATGACGAAATAATGAACTGTCATTTTAATAAATTTTTGTTCAGACGCTTTTATTTTTGAGAGGAGTATGAATTTCATGTAATACTGTTTGAGAGTGATTAGACTCTTATTCTTTGAAGTATTCATAGACAGAAAGCGGCTTTTTAGCCCAACGTTGCTTTAACCCAGAAAGGCTATTAGTCCCGAAACGTCATTTTGCATCGAATCACTAAAGGAGTTGAATCACCTTTCATACTGTTGCCAACAAATATTGTCGTCCTGCATCACTTTTAAAGAAACTAAATAATGAAAAATTTGCATGAGTTTATGTATGTTTCTCGGTACCTAGAGCCATCCGATTTTGAATAACGTAGTCCTCCACCCAAACATGATACTTAGAAGCCGAATTCGAAATTTTGAATTTGTTTTATTGTCTGTTTCATATTTTGTAAAACTTTAACGATTTTCTGCTTAAGAAACTCACCAATTTCAAAGCGAGCAGTGGCAACATTGTACGGAATAAAACATTTTTATCTCCAGCGCACGAGACTGTCTACCGGAAATTATAAATTCTATATTTAAATATTTTTAGCCCAAAGGTATGTTAGCGCAAATGCTTTCAAAATGCGTATGTGTACGTAAATGAAAAAAAAAAAAAAAAAAAAAAAAAAAAAAACTTTGGGGATAATACTAGTTTGTCAGGCTAGAGTTAAAGGAATTCCTCAATTAATACCATTAGGTTGAAATTATTCTATTTTGTTAGTTTTAAGTCTGAAAGCTTTTATTTTTTAAAATTTTATTTAAAAATGAAACTTGGAACTGTCAGGTCTAAATAACTTGTCTGTTAGCGTAAAAGTTTTAATTTCGTAATCCGATCAAGCACTCCATACATAAAGGGACGAAAATCTGTGAAGTAATTTCCAACTGTCTTCAATGTGCTTAGCGTTCTACCAATTTTTTTTTTTTTTTGTGTGTGTGTTATTACCAATCACACTTGTCTAACAAAGGTCATCACAAACCCATAGCATTCATCTTGGCAAGGACTCATATGCGCCTCTCATTGGCAAGAGCCTTAAGCACCATATAGATGACAGCTCAACTTAGCCCAGTTCGGCTGAATTTTGAGAGAGAGCAGCCCGGGAGGACGGATCCAAGGGTCTTCAACCTCTCTTCACCTGCCATCAACCTCT